AAGCTTACGTTCTAGTAGAAGCAAGTAAGCAGAGATAGACAAGTGGGTAAGGACATAACACATCAGGTGCGGTAAGTACTGCCGAGAGAAATAACGGGGGGCGGGGGTTAGCACAGGGGACAGCTGCTACCCTTGACAGAGAGCAAAGAAGGCACCTGCACGCCGGCTGGAAGGACGTGCTGGAAGTCAGGAGAGAACCATGAGGAGCTATGAGGGAAAGGCACTCTGGGTAAAGGGATCAGCAAGTGCAAAGGTCCTGAGGCCGGAATGTGCTCGGAGTGTTCAAGAAACAGCAAGGAGGCCGGCGAGGCTGAGAGAGAAAGAGCAAAGGGGGCAGTGGAAGGAGATGGGGCCAGATAAGGAGCTGGGGGCCAGGTGACTTGCAGTGCGGAGGAATGATGCAACAGGACTTGCATCTTAAAGGGGTCACTGGCTGCTGGGTAAGGTTGAAAGCGTGCTAGAACAGAGTCAGGAGGTCAGGCGATTATGCCCACAACCCAGGTGTCAGAGGAAGGTTCAGCCCAGTGGACAGCCATGGAGAGGAGGGAAGTGGCGAGAGCCTGGCCTGTTTTGAAAGTGGAGATAAGGGGCTGGAGGTGGAGCGCGAGGAAAAGAGCAGCGCCGGGCTGCCTCCAGTTCCTGGTCTGAGCAACCAGGAGAATAATCTGCCCTGAGCTGCCACAAGGAAGACTGCGGGAGGACGAGGGCCCCGGAAGACACGGAGTTCTGGCAGAGGCACGCTGAGTGAGCGGCCCAGGCAGGAAGGCGTCGGCGAGTAGGTGGTATTTTCAGTCACGAGACAAGACGAGATCACGAAGGGAGTGGGTGTGGAAAACGAGCCAGGAGGTCTAAGGACTGAGGCTGAGAAACGCCACAGCCAGGGGTGGTGCAGGAGGCTCCACCAGAAGCAGTCGGGAGGGCACAGACACAGGAGCAAGAGGAGGGTGAGTGTTCCCAGAGTTCCAGGAGAACAGTGCCCGGACTCAGGCTCTGACAGCAGCAGACTGAGTTTGAACCTCACCATACAGCTGTGCCACCGTGGGGACATCGTCTCGTCTCTCTCTGACCTCAGTTTCCCCATCCGTCAAACAGGAATGATGGCAGTATGAAGGGACTTCCAAAAGTTCATAGGAAAAAAATGCAATTAAAGTATGAGTGTGGGGCCGGCAGGTGGTGTAGTGGTTAAGATGCTGGACTCCCACATGGTCGACTGTGGTTCAAGTCCTGGACCTGGAGGCTTGCCTTCTCACTCTCTCTCTTTCTCTCTCTCTTTCTCTCTCTTTGTCTCTCTTTGGTCAAGCTGAAGAGTAATAATAAATAAATTAAATAATTTTTTAAAAATTATCTCTGGGGTAAAACTACTTCTGTTTATACCTTATTAGTCATGTAATCTTTGGCAATTACTTCAATTTCCTCATCTATATAATGGATAATAAAGACCTACCCCAGAGGTTAGTGGTGTGAATTAAATGCATAAATTACATACTGGGAACCAGCAGGTGGCGTCATGGTTAAAGTGCTGGACACTCCCACATGGCCGACCGGGGTTTGAGTCCTGGACCTGGTGGCTTGCTTTCTCACTTTCCCTTTCTCTCTTTCTCTCTGTGTCTCTCTCTGGTCAAATTAAAATGAATGAATGAATAAATAAATTTTTAAAAAGTGTAAGTGTATTGGACTAGCAGGTGGTGTGGGTTAAGGTGCTGGGCTCTCACATGTCCAAGTCCCAGACCTGGAGGCTTGAAAATCACACCAGGTGCATATGTGTGCATGCCCCAAATCCTGAGAGGAGAATAGAGAAGGGACTGTAGGGTGGCCATCCTCTGAGAGGTAAGTTCTCACTTGCCCTCTTATCATCTCTCCTTGTCTCTCTCCACACACCCTATGTCAAAAAACCTTAAAAACAAACAAAAAAAGGATGAGTTTATTTTGGTAGAAAAAAACTGAAGTCCACATTTTTTTCTCATAATACGTTTTTTCCATGAACTCTCGGAAGACCCCGTGTACTTGCCTCTTTAGGTGTTTGGGGCATTGAGAAGCTTAGCTCAGTCCTTGGCAATGGTGAGTGCTCAAAGACTGAGGCTGCTGCTGTTGGCACCTGGGACGCCGTTGCCCAGGTTCGGAGGCCACAGCGTCGGGTTCAATCCTGCGACCTGCCAACTACTTCATGGAAAGGAAGTCTGAGTTACCAGCACCGCCGGAATCAGGGAGCAGGATCTTTCCCACTCTGCCCTCATCCAGACCGGCCCGCTCCTCACATCCTGTGGGAATGGAGATGATTTTAGGTGTGAGTGGACACTCCACAGCTAGCCGAGCCACGCCGCGAGGATGTTAGCCAGTCACAATGCCCTTCCTCCTCCTCCAGGGTCTCTAGTAACCTTCGCTGGAGGTGGTTGTCAAGAGAAAGTCTCACGCTGGTGCCGCCATGTCTTTAACACCCCTCTCACAATTAAAAAGGGACGATGGGGGACCAGCAGATGGCGTAATGATCATGTCGCTAGACTCCCACATAGTCAACCATGGTTTGAGTCCCAGACCCAGCAAGTTAAAATGCCAGGCATGTGTGTGTGTGTGTGTGTGTGTGTGCCAAAGATCCCAAGGGGAGACTGGAGGAGAAGAGATTGTGGCGTAGCTGTCCCCTGGGGAGTGATTTCTCGCTTTCAATCTCTCTGTCTCTCCAGAGAGCACATGTGCCCTATAGTGAAAATCTCTCAAAAAAATAAAAAAAAAGAAAGAAAGAAAAGGGAAGATGGGCCTTGAGTTTAGCCACTTTTTAAAAATTAATTAATTAATTTTTTGGAGAGGTTTTTGCTATAGGGCTATAGGGCGTGTGCACTCACAAGAAAGACAGACAGAAACAGAAAGTGAGAAATCACTCCCAGGGGGGATGGCCACGCCACAATCCCTTCTCCTCCATTCTCCTCTTGGGATCTTAGACATGCACACACACATGCCCAGAGTAAATTTAAGTCACTGGGTCCAGGACTTGAACTGCAGTCAACTACATGGGAGTCCAGCAGCATAGCCATTACGCTAGCTGCTGGTCCTGAGTTTAGTCACTTTAACCGCACGAGGTTGGACTTCAGTGATACTGCGGGTGGCTTCAACTCCACTAAAGCTACGTTTGCTTGCCTATTTATGGCAAGTAATACTGACTTTCTATTTCCAGAAGAGAGAAAATTGTCTTTCTAAGCAAATCTATAGAAGTAGAAATATAAGTGAAGTGACTTAAAGAAAAAGCTGGGGCCAGCAGGTGGCATGGTGGTTAAGGAGATGGACTCTCACATGGCTGACTGCAGTTTGAGTCTCAGACCTGGCAGCTTGCTTTCTCACTCCCATCCCCAACCCACTCCTGTCTCTCTCTGGTGAGCACACGTGCCCTACAGCACATTTAAAAATAGTAATAATAAATACCATTTTTAAAAGAGAAAAATGAATATGAATTACGTGGTTTGAGGTGCATGAAGCGTGGGCAGTAAGGCAGATATCCCCAGATGGCTCTCGAACACCTGAAGTTTGGGAAATGCTCCTTTACAAGAACCCAGGGAAGGCATGTGGATGGCCTAGAGCAGTCTTCTTCCCCAGCCCCTGAAAGAAGGGAGTCAGGGTCACAGACACCTGCAGAGACTCGAGAATGTTCTCCAGAGGCACAGATAAGAGAAGAAGCAGGGCTGCAGCCGAGACCCCTGTCCACCCAAGGCCTCCAGTTGGTGGGCCAGGTGTAGCTGTCCAGGAGGCTATTAGCCTCTCAACCCTCGGCCAAGCCCCCAACCACCCAACGACCCCCAGGCCCCTCCACCCTCCTGGAGCCACCTCCACCTGAAGCTACAAGAGACCCTGGTTGGGAGGTCCCCTACATGTGGGGACCCGTGACCTAAGTCTTGGGGGCTCAAACCTGCTCATCTACACCCCCATTCCTCAGAGCAGACAGCAGGACTCAAGTGCAGTGTGGCCGGGTAGCCAGAGCAACCTGGGCCCTGAGCTAAGAGCACCTACCCATTCCTCAGCGGTGACTGAGTGGTGACTGGGCAGCGGGCACCCTGCAGACCTAGCTACACCCAGCCCTGAGGAGCTTGTGTTCGAGTTGGGCAGACAGAATGAACAAGGCAACAATCAACAGGGGGTGATGACAGAGAGCGGCAGGGAGGGGTGGGCAGGTGGGTCTGCAGATAGGGTGGTCAGGGATGGCCTCTGGGGAGACATGAGCTCAAAAGTCAGGCTAGAGCAGCCCCAGGGGAAGCGCACTCCAGGCAGAGGGGACAGAAAGTATAAAGACCTAGCACAGAAGTAAGCCTGGAACCTTCTGGGAACTGCCACCCAGAAGGGACTGGAGCAAAGGAAGAGAGGGGGAGACGGGAGGAGACTAGAGGTTAGCAGGGCCACAGCAGAGGCCACACCCTGAGATAGGCTGTTCTTTTCATCCCTAGAGCAATGCGGATCCATGGGAGGCTTGGAAGCAGGGACGTGACATGAGCTTTTCCTTCTTCAAATAGCTCTGGCATCTGTGCAAAAAACAGATCGTGGGTCTGGAGTGGAAGCAGGAGGAGCCAGCCGAAGTCTATCAAAGGTTCCCAGGTAAGAAGTGACAGTGGCTGGGAGCAGGGCGGTGGCAGAGAAGATGGCACCTGTGTCAGAGGCAGCACCAACAGGCATCCAGAATGAATGGTGTGAGCATGAGGCCAAAAGATGACTCCTGCATTTCTGTGTGTGACACCATTATGCTGCCATGTGCCACGATGGAGCAGGCTGGGAGAAGGCAGATGGGGACAGTGGGGCCATCCTGCTGTTCCTGGTGCACCTGTTACCTTGGAGAAGCCTGCCCACATCCCGATGGAGCTGATGGGTGGTCACTGAGTCTGAAGTGCAGAAGAAAATGAAAGCTAGGAATGGCCAGGCAAGGTCATCAGCTAGTGTTCACTCAGTGGTGGATGCCCAGGGGGTGCCCAAAGCTGCTCCTCCCTTTCCATCCCACAAGCCCAGGTCTCCCTGCACACCCCGGGTACCTGCAGTGTCTCCAAGGCCTGGCAGGCCATGCCGGTGGTGAGGGAGGCCACCTGCACCGCCTGCTTGCGGGCAGCCAGCAGGATCCTGCAGTAGGTGAAGCAGATGGCACCCGAGGGCAGGAAGAAGGTGAGGCCCGAGGCCACAAGGACGAAGGGGAGGCTGGCCAGCAGGCGGCACTGGCCTGGGGCGGGTGCCCGGGCTAGGCCCAGTTCGTGCCAGCCCAGCAGCAGGGGCAGGAAGGAGGTGAGCGCGGCCAGGCTCCAGGCCCCCAGGACGAGTGCCAGGGCGCGCGGTGGCGTCATGCGCAGCTTGTAGCGCAGCGGCGAGAGGATGAGCAGGTAGCGGTCCAGGCTGATGAGGCAGAGGTTGAGGATGGAGGCGCTGCAGCACATCACGTCGAAGGCGGCCCAGAGCAGGCAGAGGCCCCGCGCCAGCACCCAGCGCCCGTACAGACACGGCTTGCAGCTGGCCGGGCGGCATCACCACCAGCCCCACCATCAGGTCCGACGTGAAGAGCGACACCAGGAAGAAGTTGGACGTGTTGCGCAGCGCCGGCTGCGTGCAGATGAGCGCGATGAGCAGCGAGTTGGCCGCCGCAGTCAGCGCGATGACCACGCACAGCGCGGCGCGCGGCGCCCCCCCAGCCACTGCCCCCCGGGGCCGACTGCGGCCCCGACCCCCAGGCTGGGGTGCTGTTGCTGACAGGGCCGGGCTCTGGGACCATGGGGACGGGAGGAAGGGTGGTGTGTGAAGGGCGAGAATTCGTTAAGCTGGGCGAGAGGAGCGAGTGAGGGTCCTGGGGGAACAAAGGCTGGGTGGGCGTCTTGGGTGGAAACAGATCCCCTTCTGGGAGACCGGTGGGAAGACAGGAAGGGGGCTCTAGGTCACAGGGCAGACACTGGGGGAGGAAGAAGAGGGGTGATACTGGCGCTCTTGGAGGTGGGGCGGGGACGCCTGGAGCAAACGAGTAGGAAGTTTGGTGAGGGGCACCTGATGAGCCAAATGCCCCAAAGGAAGCGGCGGAAAGTTAGGAGGAGGTGGGATGGGCGCCCTTGGGTGGGAGCAGAGCCCCCGGAATGGGGCGGGGGGTAAGATGTGGGCCAGGGCTCCTAGCCGCGGACCGAGCCCCGGGGAGGCGCGAACAGGGGAGGCTAATGCGCGCTGTCGGGTCGGGGCGAGCTTCCCCTTGGCTGGTGGGCGGGTGGGGCGCTAGGCTGGAGACCTAGTGCTTGGGATCGCAGGATGGGCGCGCAGGGACGGAACCAAAGCCCCAGCAGCAGGTAAGGCAAGTCTCAGCGGGCGCAGAGGCACCCCCGGGATCCGATACCCACAGCTCCTGCAGCGTGCGGGAGGACGCCAGCCCGGGCAGGCCCCGCGGGGAGAGGAGGGCAGCGGTCGCGCCTCTTCCCCTTCCCCACCCGGCCGCGGGGTCGCCGGCCGCCTCCCGCCCGCGCTCGGTACCTAGGGCGCTCCGCGCTGCTCCGCTGCCGGCGACTGCGGCAGGGGGCGCCGGGGCGGGGGGGGGGGGGGGGGGG